GTACCCGGAGGAAACCCACGCAGACACGGGGAGAATGTGCAAACTCCACACAGACAGTCGCCCGAGGCAGGAATCGAACCCAGGTCCTTGGCGCTGTGAGGCAGCAAGGCTGCCCTATTTTCCTCACACAAAATCATGCTGACCACACCTAAACAATTCTTTCCTCTCTAAGTGCATTTAAGTCCTATTTTTCAGAATCACCTCCAACAACTTACCCAGCAATGATTGCAGACTCACAGGCCTATTGTTTCCAGGCTTCTCCTTGCAGCCTTTCTTAAACAACGGCACAACATTAGCCACCCTCCACTCCTCCAGTACTTCACCCATGTTTATAAGTGATACAAATACTTCTGCTAGGGGGCCCCTCAATTTACTGCCTAACTTCTCACAATGTCCTGGGAATATACTTGATCAGGCCCTGGAGGTTGATCTACCTTTAGGTTTTCTAAGACCTCCGGTACTTCGTCTTCTGTAACATGAACTGTTTTCAAAACATCATTATTTATTTCATCGAGTTCTCTAGCTTGCACTTCTTTCTCATCAGTAAAAATTGATGTGAAACATTCATTTAATATCATATCCATCCCCTGATGTTCAACACAAAGATGACCTTATTGATCTTTAAAGGGTTTTATTTTCTCTTTAGTTGCTCTCTTGCTCTTAATGTATTTGTGGAATCTTTTTGGATACCCTTTACCTATGAACTGTCTACTCCAATTAAGTTTTGAATGTTCTTGTTTCATACCCTCAAAATATGCCTTGCTCTTCATCACCCAAACCTTTAATCCGATGGCAATCCCCAATCAATGCTTGGAAAATTAAAATTCCCTACTATTACAAACATCAAACGTCAAGGGTAATTATTCTCACCTCACTTCTTATGTTCAGCTCTTTTGTCCACGTTTGAACCAAGGCCGTAATGAGACGAGGTGCCAAGTGGCCCTAGAACTGAAACAAAGCATCAGTGAGCAGGTTATTGCTAAGCAAGTGCTTCTTGACAACATTATTGTATCGTAAATCACTTTTCTGATAATCATGAGTAGACTGACAGGGAGTTAATTGGCTGGGTTGGATTTGTTCTTTTTTGTGTGTGTACAGGACATAGATGGGCAATTTTCCACATTGTTGCTAGGTATCAGTGTTTTATGCAGTGAAATGGCTTAGCTAGGGTATGGCATGTTCAGAAGCATGCCTTCAGAATTATTGCCAGAACGTTGTCAGGGCCCAAAGCCTTTGCAATGTCAAGTACTTCCAGCCATTTCTTGATATCATGTGGCATGTCAGATTGGTCAAACACTGGATTCTGTGATGCTGAGGACTTCTGGTGAAGATAGATCATCAACTCAGCACTTCAGGCTGAACATTGTTGTAACTGCTTCAGAATTATCTTTCGCACAATATGCTGGGGCCCCCATAATTGGGAATGGGAATATTTGTAGATCCTCCTTCTCCAACGTGCTGCTTAATTGTCCACCAGTGTTCACAACTGCATGTGGCAGAGCTGCAAAGATTTGAAACATTCTGCATCATTAGCACCCTCAGTGCTTCCTTAAGTAGTGCTCAACATAGAGGAGAACTGATTTATCAGCTGAGGTGGGGGTTGGGACAGGTGGTGGTTGTTGGTACATGATATCAGCAGGCTATGTTTGACCTGATGCCATGAAATTTCATTGGGACTCTTGACTACTAGTCCAACTTAAATACCACAAAGCCATCACCTGCTCTATGTTTAACACCACATGCTTCTATTTTACTAATAAATTTGTCATGAGATATGTATTAAATGCCTCTTGAAAGTCCATACATGCTTGCACTGTACTACCTTCATCAAACCCTCCGTTAATGTAAGTAACTCAAATTAGGCTAGTCAGACAAGATTTGCCTCGAACAAATCTATGTTGGCTATACCTTGTCATTCAATTCTTCTCTGAGTAAGAATTAAATTTGTTCCTGGCAATGTTCTCTAATGGCTTTACCATCATTGTTGTTACATTAATTGGCAAGTCTCTTGCTATCTCCTAATGAATTGTCTCCCCTTTTTTTAAACTGGAGTGTTTAACATATACAGTTCCGCCATATGAATGGAATTGGAAACTGTGCCCAGAGCTTCTCCTATCTTCACTTTAATTTTCCTAAGGCACTTAGGATATAAACAAACAGGTGATTCATTAACTTAAGCAATTTCACTCTATTTAATGCTTCCTCCTTATCATATACAATGTCTCTACACTTCCTCCTTCTAACTGAATGACTACTTAACACCTACTTCACAAAAAATAGAAATTAAATCAATATTGCAGTAATCAGGCATATACTCTGCCTCCACAGCATTACTTCCATTTTGCTTTTAAAGAGTTACACTACTCATTTTACTATTTTACATTTTATAACTTTATACAGGATTTTTTTAAAAGTCAGAGGTTTTGTAGTATGGAAAGAGGTCCTTTGGCCCATAGAGTCCACCCAGGTCATCAATCATCATCTACTCTGATCTCATTTTCCAGTACTTGGTCTGTAGCCTTTTGGTTATGGTGGTTCAAGTGTTCATCTAAATAATTCTTAAATGTCTTGAAGATTCCCATCTCTACCAGCCTTTTAGTAATGGGTTCTACATCCCACAAACTCCTTGCTGAAAAAGGTTTTCCCTCAATCCCCTTTAAACTTCCTGCTCACTAGCTTAATTATGCACTCTCCAGTTATTCACTTCTCTACTGTAGGGAAAAAGTTCTTCCCTATCTATACCATCTATGCCCATCATAAGCTTTTACAGCTCATACACATACCCCTCAGCTTTCTCTGCTCTAAGGAAAACAACTCTAGCATATCTCTTCATAGTCCAGCTCAGGCAACACCTTGGTGAATCTCTTCTGCACTCTCTTCAGTATATTCCCACATTCTTTCTGTAGTGTGATGACCAGAACTGCGCACAGTACTCCAGCCTAAGTAACATTATATACAGCTCCATTACAACCTCCTTGCTCTTGTATTCAGTGCTTTGGCTAATAAAGGCAAGTATCCCATATTCCTGAATTACCTTACCAACCTGACCTGCTGCCTTCAAGAATCTATAGACATATGCACAAAAGAACCTCTGATCCCCTGTACTTCCTAAAGTCCTACCACTAATGTGCAGTCCCTTGCCTTGGTAGTCCTTCTAAAATGCATCACCTCATAACTTTCAATTGTTCAGTCCATCTGACCAGCCTGCCATCGTCCTGCAGTCTCCTTAACTACTTACCACACCACTAATTTGGTTCGTCTGCAAACTTACTGCTCATGCCTCCTACGTCCAAATCTTGATTATTAACATACACAACAAACAGCAAAGGTCCCAGCACCAAACCCTGTGGTACATTGCTAGAATTCCTGTCGCTGTACTCACTGAAAGTTTCTCATACGTTTTCTTTGCCCTTCGTACATACTTTAACTTCAATCTGAATTCTATAGCCGCCATTGGTCATTAACCACACATCCTTTGTCGTCTAGAGCTTTTGCTAACCTATTTTCTTCTCCACAGGAGAACGTTTAATCTGTAACCAAAGTGACTTATCCATGTTGAGGGCCTATCACTCATTTACGCATTTGCTGGCCATTTTTTTTGTTTCCAATTCATCTTTATCCGATCCCTTCTTTAAAAAAAAATCACTAAAGTTAGCACTCTTCCGGTTGCGTGTTCAGTGTCAATGTAAACACTATACGGCACAACAGCTTATACCTGCTAAAGCCCACCATTATTTTTAGATAGCTTACATGTGTATAAGTAACAATCAAAAGCTGTTATCCCACGTACAATGTTAGAGTCCTCTCCTGAGTGTATTTATATGAACGTTTTCCCCATAGAAGATGAAGGCTGCAAACCACAGCACACTATTAGAAGGCCTAGGCTCCTCATTTGTTGTCGCATAAGCATACTCCGTAACAACATCTATACATCATTAACAGTCCAGTAATTAGGTAGCCTATATGTCGCGGTAGATTAAATACAGATAATGTATCTCACATCACTCACCAGAACATAGACCAGACCCGCGCCCAAACTACATGCAAAAAACGTGACGACCCCGCCCACTTCCTACATGCTAATTGGTCAATCCAGCAAAAGACCCAAGGCTTGACCCTGGGACTGGAGCGACGTGTGACGTATGAGGTTCTAGGACGCCGGAAGTGGTTGCGATTCTGACAGCCTGTCAGTCAAATCAATATTGCCCAAGTAATAAAAGTGGCGTTTTGTGAGAAAAAAGTAAGACTGCAAATCTGCTCCATACGAAAATTGTTCTCAATGCAGAATGATGCCAAATATTGCTTCTTGGTGAAAGGATAGGTACATTTAAGGGGAAGCTTGAACAACATTTGAGGCAGAAAATTTTAGCAGTTATATTGATGGAGCAAGGTTAAAAAAAGTTAAGAGTAGCGGCACTCTATTAACTGAGGTCATTGCAAAGAGATCGCTTACGATCTGTTTGAAATTAACAGAACTGTGCGCATCAAATCGATGCAACTTAATGAAATCAACGGAAATGCGTTATATTGAACAGTCGCACTACATTTAAAAAGTATCGAAAGAACTGCGGATGCTGGAAATCAGAAAAAAACCCAGAAATTGCTGGAAAAGGTCAGCAGGTCTGGCAGCATCTGTAGGGAGAAATTAGTGTTAATGTTTCGGGGCCATTGACCTTTCCATTCCATAAACTAAATTTTTTCACGTTTCTGAAAGTAAAAATTATTGCGGAGTCAATACAACAATATGCATTTACGTCGTGCTACCTGTGACATCCGGACGTTCCTGAGTGCAAATAAAGTAGGCTTGAGTTGGAGTCACTGCTGAAATGCAGGAATAGTGACAGCCAATTTGCACACAACAAGCTCCCCATAAACAACAATACCTATGTTAATCACCAGAGGTTGATTTGAGGCTAAGTATTGTATAAATGTAACTAGCCATATCTAGATTCCTAAATAGCCGCTTGTGGATTAGTGGCTAATACCTAAGACTAGTGTGATGAAAATTTAATTTGATTTATTATTGTCACATATACCTAGGTACAGTGAAAAGTTTTGCTTTGCGTGCAGCACAGGCAGATCATACCACAAAGTGCATAGGTAAATGGAACAGAGTGAAGAATACAATGTTACAGCTGCACAGAAAGTGCACAGACAGCGAGAGCAACATTAAATTTAAATTTTGACAGGTCCATTCAGAAGCCTAACAACTGTTCTTGAATCTGTTCGTACGCATATGCAAGCTTTTGTATCTTCTGCCCAACAGAAGAGAATGGAAGAGAGTATAACAGGGTAGGAGGGATCTTTGATTACCGTGGTTGCTTTCACAAGGCAGCGGTAGTATAGATGGAGTAAACAGATGGAAGGCTGGTTTGCATGATGGACTGGGCTAAGTTCACAACTCTCTGTAGTTTCTTGCAGTCACGGGAAGAGCAGTTGCCAAACCATGATGTGATGCATCCAGATAGAATGCCTTCTGTGATGAAATTATAAAAATTGGCAACAATCCTTGTGGACATGCCAAATTTCCTTAACCTCCTAAGGAAGTAGAGACGTTGTTGTCCTTTCTTGACTATTGCGCTGACATAGGTGGACCAGGACAGATTGTTGGTGGTCATCACTCCCAGGAACTTGACACTCTCAGCAATCTCCACCTCAGACCATTGATGCAGACAGGGGCGCGCCCTCCACTCTGCTTCCTGAAGTCAATGACCAGTTCCTTTGTTTTGCCGATGTTGATGGAGAGATTGTTGTCTTTAAGCTCTCAATCTCTTTCCTGTATTCTGACTTGTTGTTGTCGTGGAAACACGGAACTGAATTCCAACCAGCACTGGAACAAGGAACACAGTGACCCAACATGGAGGAGGCCTGACTGAACTGGCCACAAGACACCCCAGAACGCTCAAGGCTGCGTCTGGCTCTTAGGGGACCCCATCAGGAGCACGCACTTACCTCTCGAGCAGCAGACTTCGCTCACTGACACCCAGGATTAACTAGGAGCAGCCACCTACCCAAGAAACATGGAAGAAAAATGTCATTATTGATTAGTGTTGGTTTCAAAGGTTAGAATGTGTCAAAGACTACATTTTGAATGAAAACACTGCAATCATAACTACAGATATGCTGTGAGTAGGGTGGAAAATGTGTTTAAGAAATCTAAATAAGGAATTTTGAGACAGGTGGGCATGGTAGAGGAAACAATGACTTAATTAGGCTGGACAATAAATGCTGACCCAGTCAGCGATGTCCACATGCCATGAGCAAATAAAAAAAATTTAGGATGGAGATGCACAGAAATTTCTTTTCTCTAAATATTGGGCATCTATGGATTCTCTTCACCACTGAACATTGAAGGCAAGACGACTGACTATTTTTAAGATAGTTACATTTAAAGTCAAAAGCAGGGAGGGTACGCAGGAAACTAAAACCGAGTTCATAATTAGATTCAGCTGTGACTTTATCAAATGATGGAGTAGGCTGAAGGGGTCAACTTACTGACTTACTTCTGTTCCTAATTCATACAGTATGTTCATATGGCAATGACAATGGAAATGGGTGGCACTGGTACGAATATAGATTGCTGAGGGTAAGCATATAAATCAAGATGATTAAATGAAGCTATTTTACAGATCAGCTGGCATCAATATGAATGTCACAGCAGACTCTGGGGTCTAAATGGCCCACATTATTTAAATGGAGCAAGACTGCAGAAAGCAGAGGGATTTGGGAGTCCTCATGCATGAATCACAAAAGCTAGCAACCAAGTTGAGCAGATAATGGAAAGCAAATGGACTGTTGGTCTTTATTTCAAAGGGAATGGAATATAAAAATAGGAAGACATAATAAAATGATAGAAGGTAGTAGTCAAATGAAAGCTGGAATACTATGAATAGTTTTGGACCCCTTACCTAAGGGAAGCATTGTAGGCAGTACATAGAATATTGACTAGATTGGGCCTATAATCTTCAATGTTTGGAGGAATGAGAGGATATTTATTAAGATAATTAAATATGTATTAGATTCTTAGAGGGGTTAGTGGGTTAAATCCAGTACAATGCAATGCAATCTGTAACCTCAAGGCCTGGCATAACCCCACTCAACCATTACCATCAAGCCAGGGGATCAGTTTCTGGTTCATTGGAAAGTGTAGGAGGACATATCAGGAGCAGCACCCGTCATACTTGAAGATGAGGTGTCAACCTGGTGAGGCAACCAAACAGGATTACTTGCATGCAAAACAGCATAAGCAGTAAATGATAGACACAGCTAAGTGATTCCATAACCTATGGATCAGATCTAAGCTCTGCAGTCCTGCCACATCCAGTCATGAATGGTGGTCGACGATTAAACAACTCGTTGGAGGAGGTAGCTCCACAAATATCCCCATTATCAATAATGAAAGAGCCCATCACATCACTGCAAAAGAAAAGGCATCCTCTCGGCATCCTCCAGTGGTTCCCAGCATTACAGATACCAGTCTTCAGCCAATTCAATTCACTCAATGTGATAAGAAACAGTTGGAGATGTAGGATACTGCGAAGACTACGGGCCCTGACAACATCCTGGCAATTGTACTGAAGACTTGCACTCCCGAACTTGCCGTTCCCCGAGCCAAGCTGTTCCAGTACAGTTACAACACTGGCATCTACCGATAATGTGGAAAATTGCCCAGGTATGTCCTGTACATAAAAAGCGGGACAAATCCAACTCAGCCAATTAGCGCCCTCTCAGTCTACTTTTGATCATCAGTGAAGTGATGGAAGGTGTCATCAACAGTGTTATCAAGCAGCACCTGCTCAGCAATAACCTGCGCAGTGATGCCCAGTTTGTGTTCTGCCAGGGCCACTCAGCCCCTGACCTCAGAACAGCCTTGGTTCAAATATGGACAAAATAAATGAATTCCAGAGGTGAGGTGAGAGTGACAGCCCTTGACATCAAGACTGCATTTGACCAAGTGTGACATTAAGGAGGCCTAGCAAAACCGGAATCAGTCGGTATCAGGGAGCAATCTCTGGTGATTGGAGTCATACCTGACACATAGGAACATGGTCATGGTTGTTGGGGGTCAGTCATCTCAGCTCCAGGACATCTCTGCAGGAGTTCCACACGTTTGTGTCCTCGACCCCACAATCTTCAGCTGCTTCATCAATGACCTGACCATCATAAAGTCAGAAGTGGAGATGTTCGCCTATGATTGCACAATGTCACAACTATTCGCGACTCCTCACGTACTGAAGCACTCCACATTCAAATACAACAAGATCTGGACAATATCTAGGCTTGGGCTGACAAGTGGCAAGTAACATTCACGCCACACAAATGCCAGGCTGCAGGAATACTGCAGGCTAGGAATACTGCAGGGGGTAACTCATGTCCTGACTTCCCAAAGCCTGTCCACCATTTACAAGACGCAAGTCAGGAATGTGATGGAATACTCCCCACTTGCCTGAATGAGTGCATCCCCAACAACATTCAAGATGCTTGACATAATCCAGGACAAAGCAGCCTGTTTGATTGGCACTACATCCACAAGCATCCACTCACTCTACCACTGATGCTCAGAGCAGAAGTGTGTATTATCTACAAGATGCACTGCAGAAATTCATTAAAGATCCTCAGACAGCATCTTCCAAATCTACGACTACTTCCATCTAGAAGGACAAGGGCAGCAGATACATGGGAACACCACCACCTTCAATTTCTTCTCCAAGCCACTCACCATCCTGACTTGGAAACATGTCACTGTTCCTTCATTGTCGCTGGGTCAAAATCCTCAATCCAGAGCAGGTGGTCTGCAGTGGTTCAAGGAGGCACCTCACCACCATCTTCTCAAAGGCAACTAGGGACGGGCAATAAATACTGGCCAGTCAGTAATGCCCACATCCCACAAATGAATAAAAAAGTGGAGAGATTGTTTCCCTTTGTGTCCAGGTCCAGAGGGCATAATCTCAGAGTAAGAAATTGCCCATTTAGGACAGAGATTAGGAAGCATTTATTTGCTCAGTGGCTAGTGTCATAGAGTGTTACAAGTCGACAGCTCAGAAAAAGGCTCACTGAGTCTGTATTGGTCAAAAATAACTGCTTAACTACACTAATGTCACTTTCCAATATTTTGCCCATAGTCTTACAAGCCTTGGCATCATATGTGTACATCAAAATACATCTTTAAAGTTATGAGGGTTTGTGCCTCTAACACCTTTACAAGCAGTGAGTTCCAGATTACCATCACCCTCCAGATGAAATAAAATTCCTCACATTCCCTCTAGGCATCCTGTCCCTTATTTTAAATCTATGCCTCAGTCATTGATTCCCCCAGCAAGGGGAAAAGTATCCTCCTGCCTATGCCCCTCATAATTTTAAATATCTCATTTAATTGCCCTCTGTCTCCTCTTCAAGGAAAACAAACCCACTCTATCCAATCTCTCAGAATCATAGAGTCAAACAGTACGGAAACGGACCCTTCAGTCCAACCACTGCATGCCAAAGTAAATTCCAAAGTAAACTAGTTCCTCCTGCCTGCGTTTGCCCATCTCCCTCCAAACATTTCTTATTCATATCCTTATCCAAATGTCTTTTAAACATTTTAATTGAACCGCATCCACCACTTCCTCTCAAAGTTCATTCCATACATGAACCAATCTCTGCTAAAAAAAGTTGAACCTCACGTCTTTTTTAAATCTTTCCCTTCTCACCTTAAAATATGCCTCCTAGTCTTGAAATCCCCCACTCTAGGGAGAAACCTTTCACCCTATTCATACCCCTCTGGATTTTATAAACCTCTAAAAGGTCATCCCTCAACCTCCTACGCTTCAGTGAAAAATGTCCCAGACTATCCAGCCTCTCCTTTTAACTCAAACCTTCCATTCCTGGCAACATCCTGGTAAATCTTTCCTGAACCCTCTCTAGCATAATAATATCCTTCCTTTAACAGGACACAGTATTCCAGAAGAGGCCTCACCGACATCCTGTACACCTTCAACATGATGTGCTAACTCCTATACTCAAGAGTCTGAGCAATGAAGACAAGTGTGTTAAACCCCTCCTTAACCACCCTGTCTATATTGGACACAAACTTCAAAGAATTATGAACTTGAACTCCTCGGTCTCTATTCTACACTACTTCTGTATACAAGTACATAACTCATGAAAGGACATGTTGAGGAAAACAGTTAAAGTATGTGGGCATCCTGGTGGTTAGCACAGCTGCCTCACAGTGCCAGGTACCTGGGTTCGATTCCACCCTTGGGTGGGTGATACCCAAGGCCCTACTATTAATTGTATAAGTCCTGAACTTGTTTGTTTACCAAAATGCAATACCTCGCATTTATCCAAATTAAACTCCATCTGCCACTCCTCAGCCCATTGACCCAATTGATCAAGATCTGTTTGTAATCTGATATATCCTTCTTCACTGTCCACTATACCATCAATTTTAGTGTCATCCACAAACTTACTAACCATACCTTCTGTATTCTCATCTAAATCATTTATATAAATGACAAACGAAAGTGGACCCAGCAACAATCCCTGTTGAACACCGCTGGTAACAGGCCTCCAGTCCAAAAATCAACCCTCCACCACAACTCTGTGTCTCCTGTTGTTAAACCAATTTTGTAACCAATTGGCAAGCTCATCATGAATCCCATGCTATCTAACTTCACTAATTAGTCTACCTTGCAGAACCTTGTCAAAGGCTTTAAAAAAGTCCAAGTAAACAATGTCTATCACTCTGCCCTTACCAATCTTCTTGGTGACTTCTTCAAAAAACTCAATCAAGTTCGTGACACAAGATTTCCCTAATGCAAAAATATTGCAACACCCCCTCCTCTTTTATCTCCTTATGTTTTGTTTGAAGACCCTAGACTCTCGAGTATTGAGCTGCCAATCCTGCTCCTGTCTCAACCATGTCTCAGTGATAGCAATTACATCATACCCCCTTGTTTTACTTCATGCAATCAACTCACCTGCCTTATAAGTCAGACTCCTTTCATTAAAATAAATACCATCCAACTTTGCCAAGCTCCCTTGTGCCTTAACTGGCCTATAATTTCTATGGATTCCTGACTTCCTTGCTATCTCTTTTGCTTTTGGTTCCCCGTTGGACTTTCTCTCTGGATCCTATTGCCCTGCCAAGTTAGTTTAAACACTCCCCATTAGCACTAGTTAACTTGAATCTGTAAAATTCTTTACAGCATATGGCTGTTGCAGCTGCATTAATAAGTATACTCAAGTTGGAGATGTACAGACTTTTAATCAATGAGGATATGGCAGGAAAGTGGAGACAGGAAATATGAGATCAACCATTTTCTCATTGAACAGCAGACCAGAGTCAATAGGCCAAATGTCCTACTTCTGCTCCTACATCTTATGGTCTTACTCCCTGTTCCTATGACCTGCAGCGGTAATATGCATATAGCAAAAACTTGTATTAACATAAGCACCTTTAAAATGATAAAACATTCCAAGTAAGTTTACAAGAGCATTACAAAGTAAAATATGACACTGAGCCACAAATAAATCTCCTAAATGAGGAAAGATAGATGGAGATAGAGGGTATTCTGGAGTTCAGGGCCTTGGCAACTAAAGGCATGCCATCAGGAGAGGTGTGATTAAAATTCAAGATGCCCAAGTGATCAGAATTAGAAGAGTGCTCCTCTGAGAAGTCTGCATGAAACTGTAAAAGATTACTCAAATATAGAATTATGCTCTTAGAGATTAGAAAATGTTTGCCAAATGATTCTTCTAGTATTTACTCAATACGAATGAAGTTTCAAAAAGATAACACAGATGAAAACTTTGTAAATCAGCTTTGGATCATGTACAAATATATCAGACATTTGGTTAAATAATTTTTCACATTAATGGGAAACAGGTTGAAGAACAGTCGAAGAAGCTTGCACACAAGTCCACATCTCTGACATTGCATTAACACAATATTTCTAAAATAAACACAGGTAGTAAAGCAAATGAACATGATTATCAATGCATCAAACGACGGATATCTGTGTTGCTTTACATCTCAATGTGAAAATTTATTTACTCATTCAGGGTTAAATGATAGATTTTTACGGTTCGTTTGTTGTTAGGTACGTTGCCTTGTGAGGAAACCAAAACATTTATGTTCGAAACACACACAAACAGAGTGAGGTGTAATAATACCTTTTGCTTCTTCAATGTTTAAATATATATTGTAGGCCCTTTAACTTCCGAGCTCCCCATCTAAGGCACGTGACGTCAATTGTGTACCGGTCATCCAGTTTCCTGCGCTCGAGCGCTGGGAAGTTGACGGTTGCGCCTGCGCGCGGCTCCGCGAGGACAATCCTGCTGGAAAATGAGTTCCAGGAAAGGTGAGGGAAAAAAATAGGAATTAACGCGTTTGTCCACTAGTCCATTTAAACGTCAGGCACTTTTCTTTTTAGAAAGGAACACATCACAAATAGAAACAAACCTCCTTACATTACACGATTGCCTGGATGTTTTGTTTTGGTTGTTGAGTGTTAGGTATATTTAAAATTATATTTATATAATTTTCTCCTTGTTTCCCGTCTTGTCTTGTCAGTCCTTGCTATTCAAGCTCGAAAGAGGAGGCCGAAAGGAAAGAAAGAGAAGGCTCATAAAAAGTGAGTAGTGCAGAGTGTGGTTTGTGTAAATTGATGCTGCTTCTCTGCTCTTGATGTTCCGGGATCTGCTAACGGCGCTTTGGTCTTGGGCAGAAAAAAAGCTTTATTCATTGAATGATTGTATAATTAAAAAAAAAACTCGATATTTGTGTTTATACACTATTGCATCCTCCGTGATGTTTATTCCATTGCTTTGTCCTAACATATGTTTTTAGAAATGACGGCCTTTTTGTTGGCATTTTGTATAATCTGGGCTTGGCCGAATTTGGTTTAAAATATCCAATGTAAGTTAATTGCTTTAAGAAAGTGCCATCAGCTATAATCAACTGTAAAGATGAAGTCTGCTTTCTTCAGTGTGGATAGGAGTTTTCTTTGTAAACTATTTGACATCCCCATGTAGTTTTGAGATGTGTGAGCCATTCGGATCGAATGTGCATGTTATGTCACTTTGGTATGATTACTTGATGATCGTTTTGTCTCAAACATAATAGCTCCTGTTTTTAATTTGCATTGTATTGTATACTTTGTTAACATTGATTTAATGTTCTATCTCTTTCCACTATCACTTGGCTCTCTGCTGCATCATATACTGGAATTATCCACTGAGCGATGAGAGAGGGATGATGTTTGGTTTGGTACTTGATAGAAACTCATTTAGTTCTATGGTAACTGCATTTGTGTCTGATGTCTGTGCATTTCCTTAACATTTCAATTTTCATCCATTTCATGCTTGACCACACAATAAAGAAGAGAGGAGGCAAAACTTTTGTCCTGTAGAAGAGATTGAGTATTATTGGTATTCATACTGATGACACTTCACTCTTGTAACAACAAATTAATTTTGTACATAAGTTACTGAATGCCAGTAACTTGTTTGATTCTAAACTTGAGGCTCATGTAGTATGAAAATTTAGTGCTAATGATATTTGTGGAACATCTTTGCTTCTAAAGCAACAGTGAGAAGATTTTTTTTCAGTGCATTGTTGCATGTGTGTGTTTGTGTTCTAGTGGTGAGCTTCATTGAATCAATAGCTTAATATATTCCTGGCATTGTTATGGTGCTGAATAAAATATTTTATCCATTGACCAACAAGGTATGAATAAAATCACTTTGGCTCGAAGTTGGACCTTTTTAATGTTTGAACCAAACTGGTGTGTAACTAGTCCCTTTTTAATCAGTATGAATTCAAGTAATAGAAGTGCAAAATACTGCTGATGCTGCAAATGTGAAATAACAACAGAGATTGCTGGAAATACTCTGTGGGCCTGGCAGCAACTTTGGGGGGAGAAAGAGAATGTCATTGACTTTAAGCATTAAGTCAGTACTGGGAAAAAAGTTACAGATATTTTGGGTTTTAAACAAGTGCAGAGGTGGAAGATGGTTGCAAAGCGCAAGAGGAATGTCCTGTGGCTAAATGGAAGACAGAAACAATTAAATGATGAAAAGTCTAGTGGTACAAGGTAAAAAGAGATGGTAAAGAGATGTCAAGAAACAAAAGATGAATCTAGTGGAGGTGTAAGTGGGGGGGGAAAAGGTCACTGGTGCAGCTGTTGCCTGATCTCAACGTTTCCAGCATTTTCTATGTTTTTTCATGTTTTCAGCCTTTTTTTTCTTGCTATTTTTATTGGTGTTGCTTCTTGCTCAAACCAAGGATTATGTAAGTGATCAGTTGCTAACAACAGGCTTTAATTAGGTGGTATGAATTTGCTTAATGTTTTGAGTTCCTTAGGATAGGTCTTGCTGTTTGATTACTTTTATATTGGCGTTTAGGTTGGAATCTGGATGGCTGATATCAATAATATGATTAGAAATAATATTCTCACTGAAGAATGCCAAATCCTTTAGTTGGTGTTTCCCACCCAGAAATTTAAAGAAAGTTAGTATGAAAATTGCAGATGCCTAAACCATAATCTTCCTGATCTGTCTTCATTCAGGAATTCTTTTAGATTTGAGAATTGAAAAAAGAACTCCATAATTTAAGAGGTGAGAGAGAAACCAGAAAATTATAGACCTGTTTAACATTGGTTGTGGGAAAGTTATTGCAATTTGTAATTATGCTTGGGAGAAATATGAACTTAATCAGAGAGTCATAGCGTCATACGGCATGGAAACAGACCCTTCGGTCCAACCAGTCCATGCCGAACATAATTCCAAACTAAACTAGTCCCACCTGCCTGTTCCTGGCCCATATCTGTCCAAACCTTTCCCATTCATGTACATATCCAAAGATCTTTTAAATGTTGTGATCGTACCCACTTCCACACTTCCTCAGAAAGTTCATTCCACATGTGGACCACCTTCTTTGTAAAAAAAAAATTGCCTCATGTCTTTTTTTAAATGTCTCTCCTCTTGCCTTAAAAATCTCCCTTCCTAGGGAAAAGACAACTAGCGTTAACACTATCCATACATAGAACATAGAACAGTACATTACAGTACAGGCCCTTCAGCCCACAATGTTGTGCTGACCCGTTATCCTAATAAGATCAAACTACCCTGCATACCCTACATTTTACTATCCTCCATGTGCCTATCCAAGAGTCGCTTAAATGTCCCTAAAGTATCTGACTCCACTAAAGTATCTGATTCCACTACCACAGCCAGCAGCGCATTCCACACGCCCACCACTCTCTGTGTGAAGAACCTACCTCTGACATCTCCCTTATACCTTCCTCCAATAACCTTAAAATTATATCCTTTGTAATAGTCATTTCCGCCCTGGGAAAAGTCTCTGACTATTCACTCTATGTAGGCCTCTCATCATCTTGTACATTTCTATCAAGTCACCTCTCATCCGTAAATCTCAATACATCTCAATATTTTATACAATTCTATCAGGTTGCCTCTCAACCTCATACACTAAGGAAAATAGTCCCAGCCTTTCTTTATAACTCAACTTCCATACCCGGCAACATACTGGTAAGTCTCTTCTGACCCCTCTCCAACTTAATAATTCCCTTCCTATAACTGGGAGACCAGTACTGCAGAAGAGGTCTCACCACTGTCCAGTAAAACCTCAACATGACTTCCCAAATCTTATATGCAAAGGACTGAGCAATGAAGGCAAGTGTGCCAGATAACTTTTTAACCACCCTGTCTATATGTACCTGCACCCCTTGGTCCCTCTTGTTCTACAACACTACCCAAGGCCCTACCATTAATTGTCTCAGCCTTACCCTTGTTTGTTGAAGCAAAACACAGTACCTCACATTTATCCAGCTTGAACTCCATCTGCCATTTTTCAGCCCTTTGACTCATTTGATCAAGTTTCATTTGTAATGTTAGAAACCTTCTTCAGTGTTTTTTACTATGCCACCAATTTTGGTGTCATCCACAAAATTACTAACCATGCCAGCTATATTCTCATCCAAATCATTTATATAAATGACAAACAAAAGAGGACCCAGAACCAATCCCTGCAGAACACTGCTGGTGACAGGCCTCCAGTCCGAAAAGTAACCCTGCACCGCCACTCTATCTCTTGCTGTTAAGCCAATTATGTATCCAATTGGCAAGCTCTTCCTCAATCCCATGTGACCTAACTTTACGAATTAGTCTACCATGCAGAACCTGGTCGAAGGTTTTACCAAAATCCAAAAAAACGTCTACTGCTCTGCCATCATCAATCTTTTTGGCAACTTCCTCAAAAATCTCAATGAAGTTTGTGAGACACTATTTTCCTTGCACAAAACCATACTGACTATCCTTAATCAATTTTTCCCTTTGTTAAATGTCCATAAATCCTATCTTTTGTAATCACCTCCTACAATTTATCCAGAACCAATGTCAGACTGACAGGTCTACCTTTCTTAAACAAAGGCACGACATTAGCCACTCTCCAGTCATCAGGCACCTCACCTGTAGTTGTAGATGATACAAATACTTCTGCAAGGTGTCCCACAATTTCCTCCCTTACTTTCGATAATGTTCTGGGTTTAATTAGATCAGGACTTGGAGATTTATCCACTTTTTATATTCTCTAAGATCTCCTGAACTTCCTCTTCTGTAATTTGAACTGTTTTTGAAACAAAGTTTATTTCTCTGCATTCTTTAGACTCCATTCCTCTCTCCACAGTAAAAACTGACTGCCAATACTATCTCATATCCCCTGTTTACCTTCCTGATTTCTTTCTTAAGAATGCTCCTAAACTCTCTCTTTACATTGATTTACAGATTCAGTTGAACTGTGTTTGTAAAGTCAAACAGTAAATTCTCAATACTAAGTAGGTCCAGTGTTTTAGAAAGAGAAAAACAAAATTAATATGTGAGATCTATAAGTTTTTAAATGGACTTGTAGGAAACTTCCATGTAATAAACTCTAAGCAGAAGTTAATGCTGAAGATGTCATTGACTTTGTTTGGAGATTGGATAGGCAGGAGAAGTTAATAAATAATAGATATGTATTCAAATTGGAAGGAAGTGAGAATCTGTGCTTAGGCATCATCTATTCACAATATTTTTAATTACTTGGCAAAATAAAGAGCCATATTGCTGAGTCTTCCAAAACGTGGTTTTTCATAGTGCTCATGGTGAGATAAAGACGCAAAGATACATTTAGAGATTAAGTACATATGTGACAATACGGGGACAAATGGATTTTGACACAAATAAGTTTGAGACCATTCATTTGGATCAAAAAAATCCAAGTATTATTTAATAAAACTATGAG